TATCATTATCATTATTATTATTATTATCATTATTATTATTATTATTATCATTATTATTATTATTATCATTATTATTATTATTATCATTATTATTATTATTATCATTATTATTATTATTATCATTATTATTATTATTATCATTATCATTATTATTATCATTATTATTATTATTATCATTATTATTATTATCATTATTATCATTATCATTATTATCATTATCATTATTATCACTATTATTATTATCATTATTATTATTATTATTATTATGATTGTCATTATTATTATTATTATTATTATGATTGTCATTATTATCATTATTATTACTGTCATTATTATAATATTAATTATAATAGTAATAATGGTTAGGATGATAATGATCATGAAAATGACCACGATTCAAATGCTTGTGATAATGTTAATAACAATAATTGTATTAACAATTATGATAATAATAACAGTAATAATGCTAATGACAATAATAGTAATAGTAATAATAATAATAATAATGATAATAATAATGATAATGATAATGATAATGATAATGATAATGATAATGATAATGATAATGATAATGATAATGATAATGATAATGATAATGATAATAATAATAAGAAGAATGATAATGACAATAAGAATAATGATAATGACAATAAGAAAAATGATAATGACAATAAGAATAATGATAATGACAATAAGAATAATAACTGTAGGAGTGTCTCGTGAAGACACTTCCTGAATCACACCTGATTTGAGGAGTAGCAGGACGACTGATTTACCCCCCTTGTCGGGTCACGTCAGGTCATCACTAATGTCACTAACTGTAACTCGCTTGTCAATGGACACTAGAAACTAGGCTAGGTATTCTGCTGTCCCACAGAGAGCCCCACATCCCTTCCCGAGGAGGCCTTTTTACCATGTTAAATAACAAGATGTGTAAAATAAGGAGGGAGTCTCCGAAGGGATAGCATAGTGAGTGTTTGTGTTGTGAGAAGGATTGGCGACCCCGACGTAATGTATCTTATTGTGTTCATGTGCTGATGTATTGTGTAAGAGCAGAAACATTCTTTCTTCCGGACCACACTACCATTATTATGAGTTCCCCTGGAACATCGCCTTCAGTAGAGGTTCACTACATATAATTTTGGTGACCGCGGTGTTATACGTATAGTGTACGCACTGTTTCGGCAACACGAACCCCATACGTCTCTGCTCTATTCGTTTATGTTGCTTTAGAGTTATCGTCACTAATGCGAACTGTTTGTGGGAAAATGTCCAAGACCGGGTCCTACCAACGCAAGGGATATCGCTTACCTAGCCCAGCGGAGGGACAGGTTCAACGGGAGCAGGGCCGACAGCAGGAAGTGACGGCGCCAGGACAGTGGCGAATATATCATTTGTAGAGCCTCCTGCAAGATCCGGGGAGTCGGCACACCTAGCCACTTTTTTTATATGCTTTCCCAGAGCAGGATGATGCTGGGTCAGACCCCGCTGGTTAATTTCCAGATAGTAGAGATGGCGGTCATGCAAGGGACTAACCCTACGACATCGGACTGGTGCTTTTAATTGTGGAAGGGCCACTTCATCCAGAAATGCCCCTTTTCATCCCGCCGCCGATCCTTGACAGTTCGCAAGATTCTTTCACACGAAAAAAGTCTTGCGAACTGTCAAGGATCTGTTTCAGTTGCTTTACCTGATCTGCTGGGAGATGATCCAACGGGAGAAGGTCCAGTGATGAGCAGGTATCATCTTGGTTGCCTTGGACTGCTGTATCTACTTATTCTGCTGTGTCATCCTAATTCGATATGGATACTGCCCCAACATTCTGCATCAGATGAGTTGACGATCTGAAACACCGCATCCAAGCCACCACAGATGAGCCTATCTGCAATAGCGGCTACCACAGGATACTAAGGCAGTGATTCAGGAAGTGTGAAAAGTGCTGGCCCAAGGGGTAATAGAACCATCATCAAGCAGGTCAGCATGCTAGGAAATCTCTGTCCGCCCCGAGGATCGCCCAAAAACGGCCTTCTCTGACGGCAGTCGACTCCAATTCAAGAGACTACCCTTCGGACTGTCTACTGCCCCCACAACGTTTCGAAAGACTAGGAACATAAGGATAAGTCCGATATGCGAAACTGAGCCTCGCCCGGGCTATGAGGGAGCCCGACCTGTGTCGACTAATGTCGACTCGCTAACAGTGTGTCAGCTGGTGCTGACTCGACTTAGTTCTTAACCGCCGTGGTGTCCTGCCACAGCAGTAACCACCAGGCGACAATTGCAACTTCTCACGCCTGGGCGGGGCGCGAACTGCCGACCCCTCGGATGAATAGCCGACACGTTACCACTGTACTAGCCCGGAGGCGACTATGAATATAGTTTATAGTCGCACTTTAGTGTACCTTGACAATGTGGTGGTAGTATCATCATTTGAAGACCACTTTGACCACCTTCAGGAGATATTGGGACTGTGCAGGAGGGACTTGCGGATGCACCACCCGCCCTCACGACCATGGACCCAGCAGAGCTGAGGAGGGAGCAGCTTCAAAAACCAATCCGAAAGACCTTGACTGGTTCGAGGGACGGCGCACAGTGCATAATGGCCGAATTCCAGTGGCCCTCTCTAACTTTGGCGCAAATGATGGGGTGCTGTACTGTCTTCGCCACTTCCCCGATAGGGCTGTGAAGCAGGTTTATGTATCACAACACCTTCACCGCCAGGCACTAAAAATGGCCCACTGCCCACCATCAGCAGCCCATCCCGAGACCTATCGCACATATAAGAACCCTTGCAACAGTTAGTACTTTCCAGGAATGCTACGCCTATCGCGAAAGTACGTTGCTGAGTACAAAGCCAGTCGGCGATGCAAGACACTTCAAGGACGTGCGTCCGTGCAAGGCCATCCACCACCCTCTCCAAATGGTTTCGTCCGACTTGATGGATCTAAAGGGCTCAACTCAGCGATTCAGGTATGTGCTATCCATCATAGACCACTACTCCCGGTTTTTGCAGGCTGGGACACCTCCATGCATCCAGGAGGGGTCTCTCGTCCTAAGAAAGGTGAAAAGACTCAGGGGAGCCCTTAGTGACCGGTGGATAGGGCCATGCTGTGTCGTCAAGAAGTTAGACTTGCTGACCTTCGTTAACAATAACAAAACATCAATAACAAAACAACAACAATAACAGCAACACTAACACAATACTGATGATGATGATAATAATAATAATAATAATAATAATAATAATAATAATAATATTAATAATAATAGGTCAATATTTGCAAGAACCCAAACTCCCACCATGAATACCACCCAACCATTAGTAGAAGAGACCATTCTCCGAGACTTCCCTTTTCGAACAGACCGGGCTATCCAGGCCAATATCCCAGACGTAATTATCAAAGACTTTAAGAGTAAAATTTGCCTCCTGATTGATATGAGCATCCCTAATAACCATAATATAGCAGTTGGAGAGTAAGGAAAATGAGCAAAAATAAAGATCTTGAAATCGAAATCAAATCAAATTCTTTCACTTGCTTGATATAAGGCGACTGGGGTTTTCCGGCAGGTAACTGAAGCAAATGAGTAGATATAAATAAATATTTTACACAGTGACAATGATAAAGACAGTGATAATGATAGTAATGATAATGATAATAATGATACAAGCAAGGATAATGATAATAGTAATGATGCTAGCAAGGATAATGATAATAATAATAATGATAATAGAAAGGAAAATGATAATAATGATAATGATAATAACGAGAAATAATAATTATAATTACAAAAAAAATGTCTGGGCATTAGGGATGATCAAGAAGGGTAGCAAGAGACACTTTCAGAAAATATCTGGCGAGCCCAGTGTCCAAGAAATCCAGAAAAGAACGTCGACCAGCACTGCCTACATTATACGTAAAGCCTTATGAACGTTGGTGACTGAGGTTTTACGGTAGGTAATTGAAACAAATGGGCAGATGCAAAGAAAGATTGTATACAATGATAATAATAATGATAATGATAATGTTGATGGATAGTAAAAATAAAAACGGTGATGGTGATGATAATGATGATAATAATAAGAACAATGATAATGATAACAACAATGATAATAATGATAATAATAATGATAATAATAATAATAATAATAATAATGATAATGATAACATATAATAACTAATTATAATAATAATTATAACAGTAATTATAATAATAATGATAACAATAATGATAATAATAATGACAATGATAATAATTACGATAATGATGATAATAATAATTATTATTATCATAAAATATTAATAATAATAATAATAATAATAACGATTACAATACTGATAATAATAAAGAAATAAAATAATATTGATAATGATTATGATAATGATAATCATAATAATTACAATAATAATGATGATGATAATAGCATGAATAATAATTATAATGATAATGATAACATTAATGACAATGATTATGATAATGATAATGATAATAATAATAATAATGATGATGATGATGATGGTGGTGACGATGATGATGATGATAATAACAAAAATGATAATAGTAATAATAATAATAATAATAAAAGTAATGGGAATTCTGCTCAAACCATATTAAAAATGTTTAACCGTTGTTTTCGAGTTCATTTGCAATAGGTCTAAGGCATTTTTTACGTAAAGATAGTTAGCGAAATCTTATTTTTTATATATTTTCTTTCTTATTTCTTGTGATGTTCTTAATGAACGCCTTACTGAAGCGCTGAACACCCACGGATCCTAGAATTATAAGAAGGGCAAATTTACTGAAATGATCTTTTTTTTCAAGTCACCATCAACCGATAACCGAAATCACCCACATAATACTCCCCCTTGACAGTATAATCACCTAAAAATGCCATACACAATATCAAAAAAATCACCTAGAATGCCATACATAATTAAAAAAAAAATCTCTCTATATATTTGTCATATTCATCCGGCTACCATATTTTTTTTTCTAATCTGCAGACCTGTGAATCCGCGAACGCCCCTTACGAGAACGGCGTCGCGAGTCAGCTGATGAGCGTAAACAATTCGAGATACGAGGTGTGTTTGCCGATGTTCGAAGGACATAATACGAGTTATTTGCCCAGGTTTTTTCTCTTAATGTGTAATATTTTGGATGTTTGGGTGAATTCAGTTAATTTTTCCTTTGTTTATTGTTCTCTTGCTGTGTAATATTTTGGATGTTTGGGTGAATTCAGTTAATGTTTCTTTTATTTATTGTTCTTTTGGTTTGGTTTGATCGGGGGAATAAGTCAGGAGGTGTGTCTGTTAGTCCTGTTTTTTGAAAATACTGATTTTGTTTTTTTTATTCTGCTATTATTGCGTTTATATATATATGTATTCGTCAAGATAAGTTTTTGGTGAATAGAAGTTGTTTGTTATTTTGGGAGGATAGTTATAGATGATGGGAGAAATCTCTATTTATGTGAAACACCTCTTTATATCTGAATTTTGCGTAGACGTAGTTAGGATTAACCACTTTATTTTTAGCTTAAATTATTGTAGCACCCACCTGTTTCCTCTTCTAAATAACAAGAACTTATAAATATATTGTTTTTATGTATGTGCTGATATATATAAATATATTTCTCTTTTTTACTTCTGGATTATCCATTGGTAAAGGGAAATAATGTTTGCCTGTTTTCCACTCTGCAAACTCTGGCCCTCTAAAAAAATGTTGCATCAGGGATAATATGATCTTATAAATTGATACATACTTAGTTTGATTTTTACTACAATACACAATTTTTTGTAAAGTTATTGGCCCTCTTTAGCATAGATTTTGCACCAGAGTCCAGGGAATAAATTATGGATGAAACATTATATTGTAGACATTATTTTTTTTGTGAATTTTTGTAAATGCTAAAAATGGGACTACAGAAAACTTCAAATGATATTGTTAGGCAGGAAAAAAATGACATGCAGAAAGTATATGTTATGCTACAATTGATTATCAAAATCATCCATGCTGTATTTGTGTGGTTAATTCTAATGAAATAACAGTCTCTGCACTCTAATCTCCAGATAAGACAAAGACTCTTCTACTGCATACATTCTGGCAAGATAGAACTTGTTGATTTCTTGAGATATTCATTAACAAATAATGAATCAACTCAGAATCTTACAGTATAAATAAAGGAGAGTTTTGTTAGCTTTTACCAGAGGACAAAGTATGCAACACATGACATCAACTTACATGGTCCTAATCTAAGTAATTACCATATGCAGCCTATAGGTAGCAGTGCTCAAGGCAACTCCATTTATGAAAAAGTAGGATGATCAGTATCTTACAGATTGTAAGTATATTACATTTGGAAACTATTTTTTAAGAAGAATTAGTGCATGTAGGTGACAGGCACATATTACCAGTTGAATCAGTAAGCTGGTGTGTGTAACATTAAATTTTACTTACACATTATATTTCAGAAAAATATTATTTTATTACCTGTAATTAAACCATCCATTCTAGAATGTGTCGTTTTTGAGCCCTTCTACAAATGAAGCATGATGAGTAGTGTGAGAGTAGATGTCCAGTGGTCACCTGTTGCTGAAGACCAATTTCTGACTTGGGGCTCAGATTTACAGCTGTATCAAGTTCAAGAAGTCTCTCCAACTGAGATTGTTCAGCTTCCTCGTAAGTATATAGTGGAGTAGTGCATTGACAGACAATACCATGGTCCATCACTGTACATATGATTAATCATTATATGTTGTATTTTCTATGATTGAGACATTTTACCAACACGCTTGTATGTTTGCCACTGGTTTACGTTGCAATCACAGTAAACCTGCCAGAGATATAGCTGGCAATCCTGTGTTTGCACAGGATTGCCAGTGATTTTATCATACTAGTATACCTAAAGTATTCTTACCAAAAAGAAAAGAATTATCATGTCTTTGTCATTGACATGTTTTTGTATGTGAGGTAATTTTCATTAACAAAATCTGTTTATTATAGAATAAAATATGAATTTGCTCTGTGGAACTCATTTTTTCTGCAAATTAGCAGTTTATCCTGCAGTTTAACTTACTTTGATCATATGGATAATGTGGCAGTAACATAAGAATAATATAAGTAACATTACAATCTATGGGTTTATTTTATATAAGTAAATACATGTAAATCAATAATTTTATGTATTTCATTATTTCACAGGATTACGTTTAGGTCCTAAAACAGCAGCTTCACTATTATCCACTAATAATGACCTGCAGTACATCAAATGTGTTGCCTGGTGTCCTGGACTGGAAACAGATCAGAGCAATCAGCTTATTGCAGTTGGACAGGCAAATGGGAAAGTTGCTCTCACAAGTTTCAGTAAAGTGCCAGACCCCAGAGGCATCAAGGGGAGAGAGTTCAGTGAGTATTTATTAAGAATTGTTGAAGATTTGGGATGATTTTATATCTCAGGTGTGCAAGACATATCAGTACCTGATGCATTGATATTGATGTATACTTGAGCACCTTGACAAAGAATTTATTGCACACAGTCGAGGCTTTTGGTATAGGAGCCTCTGTATCTTGGAATAAATCCTATATTGTTAAAGTTTGAATATCCATCAGAGTTGCCAATTACAAATATTTTAATTTGGATGCATATTTGGTATATTGCTACTGTGTCTTAACATTTAGATGTTTCTAAGTGAAATGATATTTTTTTCTACAGTACCAAAACATTCTCGGGCGGTGAATTCTTTGGCATGGAGCACACAGGAACCAAAACTCTTGTCTGCTGGCCTGGACAAAGTGCGAACCGACCACTCCGTCGTAGTATGGGATGTGACTCGGACAAGCCAGCCCCCATCTTATACCTTTGATCAACGTAACTCGAGTGCAGGGTTAGTCTAAATTACTCTTAACTTTCGTATATATTACCTGTGACAGTGGCAGGTATCAACTGAACATAAATCTCATTGTAGGATTTTACCTCAGATAATTTGATAGCGCTGCTCAGATATTAAAGTTAAAGAAACTAATTCTTGATTTGTATTAGCTTACTTGTGGTGATTATTTTTACAAGAATATAGAAAAGATTCAGATCATTCATCTTAACTTTTTTTGTTTCTTTTCTTTTTCAGAGAAAACATCAAACCCCTGATTGAGTTTGGTTTAGCAGAGGCAAGTCACAGCGTTGCATTTTCCCTCCATGCAAGCGGCACACTTTTGACTGGAATGAATAATAAGCACATCAAAATTTTTGATCTGAGAGGTACATGAAAGTTTCCACATTTACAGTGCTATAGATGAAGATTTGTACATGCAAGGAAATAAGCATAGATACATCTTTTTCTTTTTCTTTTGTTGTGTTTTATTGTGTGTTTTGTTATAATGTGTATTGAACTGAAGTTCATAATGGTAAAAGAGGATATTTTATTTGGTTGAAACCTTTACACTTCTGTACACTAGCTTTATAATTTTGGTAATTTTCTTGTTTACCCTTTATAAGTACTTAGATTTTCTTTTGACTTCTGAAACTAGGAAGAAATTATTATAAGTGGAAAAGGACAAATGTCATGCTAAAAGTATTAAACAAAATGTAAAAGAACTCCTTTATCACACTTCATCTAATATTTTCTATGTAAGTACAGATATTTGCATTATTCAGTGTATATGTCATTAGTATAATTTATTTGTATTTTTCAGAGGGAAAATTAATAACCACTGTGAGCACCAAAGCTGTTTATGGCATATGTACAGACCCACACAACGAGCATCGTTTTGCATCATATGTTGAAAATCAGGTGAGCTGAGGTTATTTCATGAAGTTATTGCCTTAACCCCTTGGTGCCGGGTGACGCTGATCGGCGTGTACACAAAGAGCTCGAAAGCTGGCGTGCAGCCGGCTCCAAAGCGCGGCGAGCCAGTGATTCGGGCTGATGTCCCCTACTCACGCGCTCAAAGTAGGCGCGCTGCCTTTGTTTGTTTAAGCATAGAGTTTTTTTTTTCTTTTGTACACCTGGCGCCATTGGGTTAAGAACTCTCTCTCTCTCTCTCTCTCTCTCTCTCTCTCTCTCTCTCTCTCTCTCTCTCTCTCTCTCTCTCTCTCTCTCTCTCTCTCTCTCTCTCTCTCTCTCTCTCTCTCTCTCTCTTTCTCTCTCTCTCTCTCTCCCCCTCCCACCCTCCTGCCCTCCCTCCCTCCCTCCCTCCCTCCCTCCCTCCCTCCCTCCCTCCCTCCCTCCCTCCCTCCCTCCCTCCCTCCCTCCGTCCCTCCTTCTCCCTCCCTCCTTCCCTCCCCCTCTTTCTCCCTCTCTCTCCCTCTCTCTCCCTCTCTCTCCCTCTCTCTCCCACTCCCTCCCTGCCTCCCTCTCTCTCATTCACTTACTTACTTACTTGTCACACACTCATTCATTCACTTTGCATGCATTTGTATATAGGTAGTTACACCTCTGATTTGATGATAGTCTGGGATCTCTGGACAGAACAATAAGTAGATACTTGCATTTGTTTTAGGGGGTAGGGGGTGTATATGTGTATATATGTATATACTCACAGAGGCAAGCTTAACCATTGCCCAAAGTTGCCTGTTTACTTGTTTAAACATGGAAGAAAGTCAAAATTAAGCTCATGGAAAAATATAGTTTCCCAAAAAATTAGGCATATTTTGCCCACCTTATTTTGGGAATTTCAGAAGTTTCAACAGCTAGTGAGGATGCACACTGATTCCTACATACAAATGCATCAATCACAGGACAGCTTTATTACTCAAGTAGTCGTGACTGATCTAGTATGTTTAAGGAAGAATATGGAATTCATTTACTTTCACTAGAAAACCTAGTGAACAACTCCTGTAAGCCATTATTCATGCTTAAGGCACGAACAAGAGTAGTTGATAATAAACAAACATGGACTAGGGGTCCATGCTTTACAGCTGATCACTTTTTTATTGGGCATTCAACTTTTTGAAAAGTTGGAATGTTGTTTTACACTCTGTAAATTGTTCAGCAATAGAAAAAGTTAAAATATATTAATTTTTCAAAAGAAATTTCTATTGGAAAATCTCTTAGCAAGAGCCTTCAACTTATACTAGCTTATACTAGCTGGCCCTCAGAATACTTATACATCTAAAAAATTACTCCAGTTTATGATTAGGACCTACTTAAATAAAATTAAGTACCATGACTCATCAGCTGTTGCTTGGCCCACTGTGATTAGGATGATATCACTGAAATGCCATAGACCTTGAGAGAAAAAGTAATTAATAAATGATCATGATGTATGTCATTGCAAAAAATGATGCAGAACATATAAAGCAATAAATCATGAAGAATGTCCTTTTAAGAAATAGAATCAACGTTTATATATGACTTATCATTGTGTTTGAAAATGCTACAATGGAAGAGTATTCCGTTTCCATCACAGCCCATACAGTTTTTATTGTCTTCCTTTTTAAAATAGTGTATATGTGGTTTCATTATCTTTCCTGGATTAAAACAAATTTTGAGACCAAATTCTGTTATCATTGCATAAATTGATGTATATTTTTATTTACTTGTATTTTTGTAAAGCATAAATCACATTATATCATTAAACAAATCCCACTAAATATGTTTATACTCCAGTGATATTTCACTGAAGTATTCAGAGATGTTATATCTCTAAATGTGTCATGAATTGATATGAATAATTATTTTATATCATTATATATCATATTCCTCTCATGTTACAAGCTCAGAATTAATAATCCTTGGTCTGGCTGGTTGTCAAGCAAGTCATTTCCATGACTGCTACTGCCTCAGGTATGAGTGATTCATGCAAAAGTAGGATTACTTACATGATTCATCAAAAAATTTAGTTGAATATCTGCTGTACATTACAAGGCTAGTGATGATGGAGAAATAGATCTGTGCTGTTTCTGCTATATGTAAATGGAGCTGTTGATAATCTGAACTGCATTGTTGCCATAATAAAAGACTCATGCAATTGCAAGATACATTTGGTGAGACACACAAATGTTCCACCTTCGGATGAGAAATTTTAAGCACTAGAAAAGTGAATGTTCTCCTATTTCTACATTATCTCATGGTTATTTTTTATCTATATAATGACTTTACCAAGTTTACAAGTATACAAGGAAGATCAGGGTCTCTAATGCAGTTGCACTCATGAAGAATTGTGTTCATCATTCATAGCCTTATAAACATTTTTCTCACCATTCACATAATACTATTTCCGTTCTGTTTCATCATGCACTTTGATCTATGCAATTTAATTCTGACAGCTACAAGATTTTTTTCTTTTTAACCTGACCTAGAGGGGCAGTTAATATTATTCCAGTCAGAGCAATTAAATGTGACAATGCCCCTCTCTTGGTATCTTTTAAGCATTTTAAATTATTCTTAAAATTTAAAGGAATGAGATACCTGAGTGATGTCAGGTAGGCCTAACAATTGTGGTGTCTTATATGTGCACAAAAAGTAAGAGGCATAAATAACAATACGAGATGAGGGAATAAAACAGAACTATAGTGGTATTAACAAATTAAAAGTTTTCCTAATTCATTACAGGTTTAGTACAAAATAATGCCAATTATAAACCTAATCTGTTACATGCTCAATTTATTTGTCTTCTTTTTACAGGGAGAGACAGATATGGCAATCCAAGATAGAGTAGCATTTGCGTGTAATTACTTAAGTGATGCCAGGCTAATGGAGTACTTAGAAAGGCTAAAGATGAGACTTACAGAGGCTGGAAACCTTGACGGTATTTTGCTCACAGGTTAGTACACTTTCAGTGCTGAAGGTGACTTTGGTTAAATAGTTTTGTCTTGCATCAAATTTCATATGTCAAGAAATCAAAGAGAAATTCTATATAGTAAAATATTCCTTTTATTTGATAATCTTTTTCACAAGTGTTTTCATTATTTATCATAGGTCTCTGTCCTGAGGGAATCGATTTGCTTCAGCGATACGTAGATCTTACTGGTGACGTGCAAACTGTTGCATTAGTTACAATACATACACTTCAGCATGCTGTCAATAAAGATTCTCGATTGAGCCACTGGGTACAGAGGTGAGAGACTCCTTGAAAGATATCTGTGTGTAAAAATTCTATTCCTGTATATTTTTGTAAATTAAAGAAAAGGGTAAACGGGCGAAACAGGCAGTACAAGTACAAGTGTAGCCATCTATGTGTAAAAACAATTAAACAAGTAAACTCACAGTGGGCATGTCACATATACATGACACCCGGCGCGAATGGGTTAATTGATCCTTAGTCTTTAAACTGTCAAGCTTCAGGATACAGCCAAAGACATACTCAGATTCAGCTATAACTTTATTTTTAGCTATATATTCTTATCATTACATTATGTAGTAACACAGCAATATCATACTGCACCTTAATTTCTAAGAAAAGATCTGCCTTGATTTCACCTAAATTAATTGCATATGTATTAGATGTTTTTTTTTTTTTTTTTTTTTTTTTTTTTTTTTTTTTTCTTAACCCTTAGGGTTCAGAAAAAATATATATATATATATAAGTTTTCTTTTCTTTGTACCATAAAGAAATTACTTTGGACTTACAATTTTATAAGAACAAAAAACACTGATTTCAAAATAAATTTCAAACATGTGATCCATAACAACAGCCTCCAGTTTGAATCACTTGTATCTCTCTATCCAATAATTATATCCAGCTATGAAAATCAGGAAAAGACGTATCCTTTATAAAGGATTTGCTTTGAAGTTTGATATACATCTTGAAGTTATTTTATTTTCCTAATTTTTTTTTTTTCACTTGTCTCTTTGAGCTAGTACAACCAGAACCTAAAATATGGATTGATTTATTTGTTCTGTTCATTTGTTCTTCACTATTTATATTTAGGAGTCTGCTGACCATGGGTGAACTGATGTCTGATGTAGTGAACAAGCCATGGGTTGGATTAGATTTACAGAAGCCACCGACGTGTAAAGTGTTCAGGTAGGTGTGATGGTTACGATGAGGTTTTTAGGTGTTCAGGTATTTTCTTCATTATTTTGATATACTTATGGTGATATCCTCTTTCTTTATTTTACTAAAATAGAGCAAGAAGTGGAAAGTGTTCCTTATAAATCTTGATAGAGACCTCTCTGTGGTCGAAACTGTGCATCATAGGATATTTTTGGCCTGATGCAAAATTCACCAAATACTCATTTCCGCCAATAGGTGTGAAGAGCGCAGCAGAGCTTTGGAATTGTGCTCTTGGGGTTTTGAGAATGAAGCTGTTCTGACGAGTTTCCTAGCTCAGTTAGAGAATGCAGGAAACTATACACGTGCAGCGGCTGTTGCAGTTTTTAACCAGCGTATAAAGCAGGCAATACAGATCTTGCAGAAGGGTGCAGCAGTTAAAGAGCCAACACTGAATTCAACTGCCATGGCTCTGTCTGGTAGGTGGTTAAAATGTGAAGGATTAATTCATCATCTTTATTATCTTACTATTATCAATTTACTGTGTAGTTAATTATTATACAAACTATTATGTGTTACTGTCTCTCTAGTGCTCTGTCTATCAACAAGTCCTTTTTGGCATCCATTTTCTTTGTGTTGCTATTCTTTTATTCTCATTCAAAATGCCCAGTCTTTTCCTTCCTCTGGGTCTTTTACCAGCTATTCTTCATTCAGTCACCTTCTTCAACAACCCATTTCCACATAAGACATGTCCACTACATCTCTTTATAGTTTTAATAATCCTGTCCATCAGTTGTCTCTTTTCTCCCACCATTGACTACAGCACTATATTGGTCGTCCTCCCTGCCCAGCTTAAGTTTTCCATCCTTCTCCAAACCCACATTGCAGAAGCCTCTATTCTCTGAATCATGTCCGCTTTGTATTGTACTTTCACATTTTTTTCTTCACACTCTGACTGGTTACCATTACTATATGTTATTATGATGCTTATATTATTTTAGATAAGATGTAATTCTAAACATCGATGAAAGTTACGGAATCCCAGTTTTGTAGGAAGGAATTGAAGTTCATTATACTTATGATACATTCAAGATCAACATGAAATGGTGTTTTCTCACAGGATTCACAGAAGATCGCAAAGCATTGTGGAGGGAAACGTGTATGATGCTGCGTTCCCAGCTGACTGACCCATATCTGCGTGCCATGTTTGCCTTCCTCACAGATGATGCAGATTCCTTTGACCCAGTTCTAGTAAGTAATAATGTAATGTTAGATTATGACAAGTATCTCATAGAAATATGCCCGGTGGTTGAGAGAGGGTGTTTTATGTTGTTTTTAATACCAAGGTACAGAGTATTTAAAAGCAATTTAATCATGAAAAGATATAGTTTTCATTAAAGTCTTTGAAAACCTGTGAAATCCTTTAAAAAAAAATGTCTCAGTTATGAACTAAACTTTTGTCTTCCATCTGTTAGTCACTTAATAAGTTTCATCATCATTGACATCACTGGGGAGTTCATGTTGACAGGGGCACATGGCCTCATCCACCCTTCATTTCCACTTATGAGGTTCCCTCATGACAAGACGCCAAGCAGGGACTCACCCCATCTCAAGCCAAGACTTTCTAGGTTGTCCCACAGGCCTCCTCCACCCAGAGTTGTCCCAAATACAGGATCATCCTGTGGAAAATGAGCCAGGTGCCCATATAGTCTGAGTTGGTGGTCCCAGATTATGCAAGTAACAGGTCCTTTATCAATCATACGGTGTAACAGATGGTTGGTCAGATGGTCTCGCCAACTGTACCCAGGCATAGGATAACATCCAGGTTTCACTTCCATACTGTAAAACTGGCAGTATCAGGGCCTTGAAGACACATAGCCTAGTCCTTCTGACTTCATTGTCCTCAGTACAAGCATGTACGGACTGAAAAGGTTCTCCTAGTAGGCCATCAAATTCCTGGATCTTGGTGTTGGGCCTTGGACCTTTATGTCCTGGGGCTTTGCTTCATTGCTAAATGCATCTAGAACCACCACTAGAGTTTCCAGACTCAGATAGAATAGCAGCGTCAACAGAGTCAAGGTCGGTAATCTTGATATTGCCCAGAGTGGCTCTACAATGACTGTGGACAGTAGTTCTGCCCAGTATCCAATCCATGCAAGTGTTGAAAAGCGTTGGTACAAGAACACAGCCTCACTCCTGAACTAACTGGGAGGAAGCTCAACAGGCCCCCATCACTCATTCCCCTTCCAGAAAGGGATGACCACACCCCTCAGCAGGTCAGGGGAAATGGTCCAAGTCTGCCAGATGACACCCAGGACAGTTATGGAGGGTGGATCCTCGCTGATGGATGGGTCCGGCACAGGGAGCTTGACACTACCCACATCCAAGTTAACTGCAACCCAACAGGATCTGAGATGATCTGGCCACTTACTGAGTGGACTGCAGTCACCTGTGAGGAGTGCTTGGAGTTCAGCTTTCTCAGGGCTTGGTTGGTTGGACAAAGGTCATTTACTAAGAAAGGCCTTCAATCTTCTCTGCAAGATTACTGATAAACTGTTCCTTGTCCCTTCTCAGCAGTGACAAGTCTTGCAAGCCAGGGAACAATGCATGTCACGATCTCCTGTCAAACAAGCCGTGTAACAAGCATCTTTGTCTCCTGCGAGATAAAATTTTGTCTAGCTCTAGAGCAGTTGCCAATCACATTATCTGAATCGCTCTACCATGTTCAATGATACAGGTCAGAGCGCTGGTACCAAGAGCCAATAATCCTCAATTTCTGGCACCTTGCAAATTTCCAGAAAAGGAGGCTATTCTCTCTGAGCCATGAGGACCAACAGAAATTTCATTGCCAGCTTGGTCATAGCCAGATACCACATTGAAGTCACCCAGAATAATGCAAATACCTCACCAAGGGCAACTGTCTATCACAGATGCAAGTTTGGCATAAAACATCTTTTACATCAAGTTTACAAACATCAGTAGAGTGTACTCAGCAATAAGAAACATGAAGTCAAATGCAAGCTTTAATCTTAATACCATTATATACACATTGACCTCTACTACTGAAGATTGAAGTTTGCTGGAGATGGTTATGGTACTCCTTGAAGATGATGACCATTGCTACAACTCAACCAGTCATAGGTGTAGCCACCCACACTGATCATGCCACTACCAGGTCTTTTCACCTCCAAATGAGTAGCCACCTCAACTCTCAGCTGCCTGAGTTCCTTCAACTGCAGTGGCAGATGATCTTTCAGCTGCAAAGTGTGAACGTTCCAAGCCCCCACTATGACAGTCATTATCGATGGGCACCAACTTTGCCACCCCCACCAACTTTGCCCCATATAGAGAGGGATGGCTAGCTCCAGGGCCCATAATCTCTTTGTGGGTGTCCTGTGGGCTTTACATGCTCTTATACACTAAGGAGTCATTTACAAAGCCTGCTTGACCTCATCTGTTTACTCCATTCCTTGAATTTTTAAGAACAAAATGTATATTTTTATTAATATATAATCCTCATTAATAATGTTTTTGTTGTTATATCATTGTTATTCGTTAGTTGTAAATTATTATTATTAGCATTAGAATTATTATTATTATTATTATTATTATTATTATTATTATTATTATCATTATTAATATTATTGATGCTATAATTATTTTATTTCTAAAATTACTGGTAGTAGCATTTTAAATATTCTTAAAATTTAAAGGAATGAGATACCTGAGTGATGTCAGGTAGGCCTAACAATTGTGGTGTCTTATATGTGCACAAAAGTAAGAGGCATAAATAACAATACGAGATGAGGGAATAAAACAGAACTATAGTGGTATTAACAAATTAAAAGTTTTCCTAATTCATTACAGGTTTAGTACAAAATAATGCCAATTATAAACCTAATCTGTTACATGCTCAATTTATTTGTCTTCTTTTTACAGGGAGAGACAGATATGGCAATCCAAGATAGAGTAGCATTTGCGTGTAATTACTTAAGTGATGCCAGGCTAATGGAGTACTTAGAAAGGCTAAAGATGAGACTTACAGAGGCTGGAAACCTTGACGGTATTTTGCTCACAGGTTAGTACACTTTCAGTGCTGAAGGTGACTTTGGTTAAATAGTTTTGTCTTGAATCAGATTTCATATGTCAAGAAATCAAAGAGAAATTCTATATAGTAAAATATTCCTTTATTTGATAATCTTTTTCACAAGTGTTTTCATTATTTATCATAGGTCTCTGTCCTGAGGGAATCGATTTGCTTCAGCGATACGTAGATCTTACTGGTGACGTGCAAACTGTTGCATTAGTTACAATACATACACTTCAGCATGCTGTCAATAAAGATTCTCGATTGAGCCACTGGGTACAGAGGTGAGAGACTCCTTGAAAGATATCTGTGTGTAAAAATTCTATTCCTGTATATTTTTGTACATACAAACTGTCAGTGTTATGGTATTAGGAGCTGTTGGTTAGCTAAGTATGTTTATTGCACAAGCAGTTGCAAATTTGATTGGGTATTAAGTTGTAAAGTGAATAGTGTAGGGGATTTGAACTTCATGCTCACTGAGCATGACTTATTAAGCAAGTTTTTTTCTCACTCTCTTTTATCTCTTTTGTAGTCCTCATCAATTTTGTCAAAAAATTTTATCTGTATTATTGACATTTTAACCCATTCGCCACGGATTTATGTTCTGTCCCCTGTAGTTTTTAGTGAATTATGTTACATACAGATGGCTCCACATGTACTCAGCCAGCAAGGAGTCTATCAGTAGGCCCTGGTTACCGACCCTGATTTTCCCATTCATTGCATTGGTGGGAAAATTAATACCATTGCTATCGATACTGTTATTATTGTTATTGATGTTATGATTACCAAATTGTCACTAGAATATTTTAGACAGTGAAATGATACAAAAAAAACCCTTTCCAAAAGTGAAGGAAAAGGGTATACAGGTGAAATAGGTAGTTCTTGATAACTGGCTGTTTGGTGATTAAGAACTTGTGGAGCCATCTATGTGTAAATACAATAAATAAACGTGTCTCAAAGTGGGTATGGCATCTATTCTTGCCAAATGTGGCGAATGGGTTAATATTCTCATGCTGTCTTGTTCACTAGTTCAGATTATTAATGTATATTATCCTGATAATAACAGCTAAAATTTTTGGTAAAATCAAGAAAGGACAGGCTTATATTAATGTGTGCCACCCTGCTTGGACTGTTGTCCGGTTTGCAGTTGGGTATGTGAGACTTTATCTTGGCATTCAGGATACTGACTCAAGATGAGGTGTCATCACCCTCTTTTCTGATTATTTGTCAGGAAATGATTGTACATCACTCATTCCCCTTCCAGAAAGGGATGACCACACCCCTCAGCAGGTCAGGGGAAATGGTCCAAGTCTGCCAGATGACACCCAGGACAGTTATGGAGGGTGGATCCTCGCTGATGGATGGGTCCGGCACAGGGAGCTTGACACTACCCACATCCAAGTTAACTGCAACCCAACAGGATCTGAGATGATCTGGCCACTTACTGAGTGGACTGCAGTCACCTGTGAGGAGTGCTTGGAGTTCAGCTTTCTCAGGGCTTGGTTGGTTGGACAAAGGTCATTTACTAAGAAAGGCCTTCAATCTTCTCTGCAAGATTACTGATAAACTGTTCCTTGTCCCTTCTCAGCAGTGACAAGTCTTGCAAGCCAGGGAACAATGCATGTCACGATCTCCTGTCAAACAAGCCGTGTAACAAGCATCTTTGTCTCCTGCGAGATAAAATTTTGTCTAGCTCTAGAGCAGTTGCCAATCACATTATCTGAATCGCTCTACCATGTTCAATGATACAGGTCAGAGCGCTGGTACCAAGAGCCAATAATCCTCAATTTCTGGCACCTTGCAAATTTCCAGAAAAGGAGGCTATTCTCTCTGAGCCATGAGGACCAACAGAAATTTCATTGCCAGCTTGGTCATAGCCAGATACCACATTGAAGTCACCCAGAATAATGCAAATACCTCACCAAGGGCAACTGTCTATCACAGATGCAAGTTTGGCATAAAACATCTTTTACATCAAGTTTACAAACATCAGTAGAGTGTACTCAGCAATAAGAAACATGAAGTCAAATGCAAGCTTTAATCTTAATACCATTATATACACATTGACCTCTACTACTGAAGATTGAAGTTTGCTGGAGATGGTTATGGTACTCCTTGAAGATGATGACCATTGCTACAACTCAACCAGTCATAGGTGTAGCCACCCACACTGATCATGCCACTACCAGGTCTTTTCACCTCCAAATGAGTAGCCACCTCAACTCTCAGCTGCCTGAGTTCCTTCAACTGCAGTGGCAGATGATCTTTCAGCTGCAAAGTGTGAACGTTCCAAGCCCCCACTATGACAGTCATTATCGATGGGCACCAACTTTGCCACCCCCACCAACTTTGCCCCATATAGAGAGGGATGGCTAGCTCCAGGGCCCATAATCTCTTTGTGGGTGTCCTGTGGGCTTTACATGCTCTTATACACTAAGGAGTCATTTACAAAGCCTGCTTGACCTCATCTGTTTACTCCATTCCTTGAATTTTTAAGAACAAAATGTATATTTTTATTAATATATAATCCTCATTAATAATGTTTTTGTTGTTATATCATTGTTATTCGTTAGTTGTAAATTATTATTATTAGCATTAGAATTATTATTATTATTATTATTATTATTATTATTATTATTATTATCATTATTAATATTATTGATGCTATAATTATTTTATTTCTAAAATTACTGGTAGTAGCATTTTAAATATTCTTAAAATTTAAAGGAATGAGATACCTGAGTGATGTCAGGTAGGCCTAACAATTGTGGTGTCTTATATGTGCACAAAAAGTAAGAGGCATAAATAACAATACGAGATGAGGGAATAAAACAGAACTATAGTGGTATTAACAAATTAAAAGTTTTCCTAATTCATTACAGGTTTAGTACAAAATAATGCCAATTATAAACCTAATCTGTTACATGCTCAATTTATTTGTCTTCTTTTTACAGGGAGAGACAGATATGGCAATCCAAGATAGAGTAGCATTTGCGTGTAATTACTTAAGTGATGCCAGGCTAATGGAGTACTTAGAAAGGCTAAAGATGAGACTTACAGAGGCTGGAAACCTTGACGGTATTTTGCTCACAGGTTAGTACACTTTCAGTGCTGAAGGTGACTTTGGTTAAATAGTTTTGTCTTGAATCAGATTTCATATGTCAAGAAATCAAAGAGAAATTCTATATAGTAAAATATTCCTTTTATTTGATAATCTTTTTCACAAGTGTTTTCATTATTTATCATAGGTCTCTGTCCTGAGGGAATCGATTTGCTTCAGCGATACGTAGATCTTACTGGTGACGTGCAAACTGTTGCATTAGTTACAATACATACACTTCAGCATGCTGTCAATAAAGATTCTCGATTGAGCCACTGGGTACAGAGGTGAGAGACTCCTTGAAAGATATCTGTGTGTAAAAATTCTATTCCTGTATATTTTTGTACATACAAACTGTCAGTGTTATGGTATTAGGAGCTGTTGGTTAGCTAAGTATGTTTATTGCACAAGCAGTTGCAAATTTGATTGGGTATTAAGTTGTAAAGTGAATAGTGTAGGGGATTTGAACTTCATGCTCACTGAGCATGACTTATTAAGCAAGTTTTTTTCTCACTCTCTTTTATCTCTTTTGTAGTCCTCATCAATTTTGTCAAAAAATTTTATCTGTATTATTGACATTTTAACCCATTCGCCACGGATTTATGTTCTGTCCCCTGTAGTTTTTAGTGAATTATGTTACATACAGATGGCTCCACATGTACTCAGCCAGCAAGGAGTCTATCAGTAGGCCCTGGTTACCGACCCTGATTTTCCCATTCATTGCATTGGTGGGAAAATTAATACCATTGCTATCGATACTGTTATTATTGTTATTGATGTTATGATTACCAAATTGTCACTAGAATATTTTAGACAGTGAAATGATACAAAAAAAAACCCTTTCCAAAAGTGAAGGAAAAGGGTATACAGGTGAAATAGGTAGTTCTTGATAACTGGCTGTTTGGTGATTAAGAACTTGTGGAGCCATCTATGTGTAAATACAATAAATAAACGTGTCTCAAAGTGGGTATGGCATCTATTCTTGCCAAATGTGGCGAATGGGTTAATATTCTCATGCTGTCTTGTTCACTAGTTCAGATTATTAATGTATATTATCCTGATAATAACAGCTAAAATTTTTGGTAAAATCAAGAAAGGACAGGCTTATATTAATGTGTGCCACCCTGCTTGGACTGTTGTCCGGTTTGCAGTTGGGTATGTGAGACTTTATCTTGGCATTCAGGATACTGACTCAAGATGAGGTGTCATCACCCTCTTTTCTGATTATTTGTCAGGAAATGATTGTACATCACTCATTGCCATTGAAATTCACTGTGTAATAATTTTGTATATTTTTACAGCTACCGAAATCTTTTAGATAGCCTGCGACTGTGGAATGAGAGAGCCCAGTTAGATGTTATAATGAATCATAACAAATATGCAGAGCGGCCACCACAGCACATTTACATCTCATGCTACTTCTGCAACAAAAGCATTTCGGCTTATATTCAGGCTCCTGGTAGACCTAGAAATCCTTATGCAAGATATGGGACAGGTTCAGCTACAAAGTCTAAGGTAAATTGAATTTCTCAGTTTTTAATTTTTATCTGAAAAAATAAAATGTATTTTCCCTTCTCATGAGAAAGTTTTATTTGAACATTTCCGTCTAGTTTTATTTATTATATATATATTTTTTTTTACAAAATCTCAAAGCCTACTTTTTATTATCATTGTTTTTCATTTACAGAAAGCATGCTTGCTTTTATGAATATAATATTCCTTATCATCCTTTATTGCTGACATAGATGCAGGCTTGTCCAAACTGCAAGAAGCCCCTCCCTCGCTGCTCCCTGTGTCTGGTGCACATGGGAACTCCCTCCGGCTGGGGAAGCTCTACTTCCAAAAACCTGGCTGTAGAAGAAGGTGCTGATGGCCAGTCCAATGTTCCAAATAACGATGGTGCTGCATCCAAGAGGAAACTTAGCAACTTCACTTCATGGTTCACTTGGTGCCAGACTTGTAGACATGGTGGACATGCCCATCACCTCATGGAGTGGTTCAAGTAGGTTCTTTTTTCTTTTTGTTCTTTTTTCTTCTCTTTTCTTCTCTCTCTTTCTTCTTTTTTTTTTATAATTTAGTTGAATGGAAATGTGTGTCAAGGAATTGAGTGTGATTACTGACTGATATTTACTGGATATTACTTGGTTCATAAGTTATGTAATAGACAAGTTATCTTACATTAATTACATATTTATAAGGCACATGTAAACTCAGCAGGCTCAAGTTCATGCTGTTTATCACTCTTTCATGAATTAAGTATTTTTTTTGGATATTCTAAGACAATGAAGACTGGATAGGACTATGAAGTGATAGTCTATTTTTCTCTCTTTCAGGGAACACACCGAGTGCCCTGTAACATCATGTACTTGTAAGTGTATGTCACTGGACACTGTTAGTAAAGTGCCATCCTCATCAGCTGCAGTGACTGTGAAGTGATATTCTTCAGCACAACCCACAAGCATTAAAACTGGTACTTTTTAGTTTATCTTTAGTGGAATAGCATTATATAATGAGATAAACATATATATTTATATTTTTGGTGATAAAGAACTATGAGTTGATATTCAATATTTGACACTTATTGATAACAGTTTTGAAAGAAGAGCCAGTGGTTAAAAAAAAAGTTGAGGTTGTGAGTATACTGGAACAATGCCAAGGAATTGCCAATAACCTTTTGTTTGACACATTTCCTTTTATATTCAAAGCTCAATGTAGATAAGAAGTTTTCTCCTTGGGTTCCAGGAACTTTTCCTTAGTACCTAACAGTTTCTTTTGCTTTTGTCACCTAAGTTCATATGTGTAGATGTTCACTATCACAACTATCATTGTTTTGCATAAACCGATAATATAGTTCACACTTTGCCTCAATGCTCAGATTTTATATGTTTTCAGAGATTGTACTTCAAATGCCTCCCATATGTTTCTAGAAATATTTAAAGTAAAGCCTACTTGTAAATACTATGAATGTAGTTTTCAACAATGTGATATCAAGTGTAGAAACCTTAATTGTAAAACAAGAAATTATATGGAATTAATTAAAATATTGTACATGTACCTTTTGAGAAGCTTTACCAGACAATCTTCCTATACTTTTCAATTTGGCTCATTTGGTAACTTTTATGTAAATGAATTACTTCTGGATGTATATGTAAAAATTAAATAAGAATTGATAATTTCTCTTTAAGAGTTGTTTCTTTTTAATTCATTATGACATTATGATAGTAATGATAACTAGAATCCATTATTAGGAAGTATTTGCCATTGCTATTTATTATTTCTTGCAAGAGTCCTTTCTTTGTTACAGATATTACACATTGTATATACTGCTTTAAAGACTGATAAAAAAAGTGAAATTATACTGAAGAGTTTCAACTACAGGAAGTAAACATTATTGGCATTTGGCATATACACACCCTATCTGTTCATCTTTCTCTTTTGGTCTTTCCCTCTTGATACAAGGTCAAAATAGGTGGAGAAATAATGGAAAGAGAGTAAAATTATAGTATGAAAAGTACATGAGAAAAGTACAAAGTATTGATGACAGTATGTCTTACCATACATCCCCCTCTAATCCAGACACAAACAAAAACAAAAAAGTGGTTCCAGTAACGTGCAATGTACAGGGATGGTCGGTATGGGTCTTTTTAATATATAATTTAGTAATACCAGCTCACACTAAACTCTCATATTTTTATGGAGTTTGCTTCAAAACTAAATGAGCATTGGATTTTTTACTTCCTCTTCTCTCTATTCTCAAAATTTGGTCCACACAAAATTATTCAGCACTTGTATGATGTATAAAGACAATTCTTTCACTATTTAGCTTATTTACTATATATTGAGAGAGTTCTTTCACTATTTTTTCAATGTAGATAAGAACATGTCACAGCAAAATAAATCATATACATCAAGGGTAGAATATTACGTTGAAAAATCAAGAAAATAAATTGTGGTTTACTTTATAATAGCTAAAATGTATTCAAAAGAATAGCTAGCCCATTACAGTTAGTATACTTTTAATGTTATTCATCTACATACATAGCTGGATAAGAAGCATAAACATTTTGCAGACCATGAAATTAATCAAGCTTCCATAGGCGAAAAGCAGATAAAGGAAACAAAGAATTATGGAATAAAGGAAAGCAATGTTGATAAAGAAAATACAGCAATATATATCTTGGCTGCAAATATTCTGCAGAAAGTATTTTTTTTTATATACTAAATGCAGTAAAGTAAGCACAGTAAAAAAAAATTCTTCATTACATATCTTTTGAGACATCCCTATTTTTGGACTTAGTGTCATAGCATTTTCTTATTTTAAATAAATAAAGGGGGGGGGGGGTGACATCAGTAATACCCATATATGGCTACATTTGTAAATTCTAAATGGAGGAGAGCCATGTATTTGGTCCACAGTATTCACGGTGATGAAACCTCTACAAAATAGAACGTAAAAATTAAATTGATTTTTTTTTTCCAGCATAAATAACTAAGGATTAACGAGTAATTATAAGGTTTCTATGAGCACCTGCAAATATTATATGTTACATTCTTAGATGGAAGCAAGTGATTAATGACTATCAAGAAAACATACTTGTGTAGAACTTTCTGCCAACCCAAGGGACTTCAAATACTTGAATTAAACCTTTTGACATTCTAAGTATTCTCTTTATTTATGGGGGGAAACTTTATTCCAGACTCCTAGATGTCACAACACATTTTCTAGACATTCTGTATTTCTACTAGATCAAACACTTACTGTCCACATTTGCATGATGAATACAATAATAAAAATATGTTCAAGTGCTTTAGAGACATTTTCTACTGTATAGCTATATTTATTTCTACGAAGTAAATTTCATAACTGTTAGAAATAGAAAATAAGTGCTCATATCACTACTTTTCCATTAATCATATTTAAACACCAACATACTTCTACCCTTTGGATCTGTGGATGTCTTGTCATGAAAAAATGTGACTGAGGGGCAGGTGATGGGAACATTGTCATGGGGGGTAAAAAATGACAGAAGTGTAGGTGACAGGAAAGTCTCATCACAGGAATTATTTGCTAAGTGTCAGGTGATGGGGACATCTTGTCATGAGTGCACAAAGCACTTGGCTTAAGATTGATTTATTTGGCCTTCAAGAGGGGTACATTTGTAAGCTTCGACAGGATTTCCATTGGTTCATGAAGCTAAAGTTTACCTGTCACTTATCAACCATGCCTGGGACTTGGTGATCTCCAGACAGGACACTATGTGTGTATATATATACTCCTGCCAGCCATTACCAGCAGTGAAGAGCATGTGACTGAAAGCTGAATATTATGAAAATATAAACATCTATTATCATAACAAATGACAAATATGAACCTCTGAAAATGGCATAACATCAAAAGTACATCTGTAGATAAAGCACATACAGATAGTCCTCTACTTAAGAACATTCTACTTATGAACATTCCATACATACAAACTAAATTTTTTAAGTACTAAAGTCCAAAAAATTGTTTGAAAGATACTAGCAACTTCAAATTTCCCGGGCACCAATTTAGTTCAAGAGTCTGGTACTGTATAAGGTATATCGTACTTATTGGGATTTATTTACAGGTATTCTTAATGTAAACAAATCTTTAAAGCAATGGGAAAAAAGGTAATGGAGACCCGGCTTTCAACATACAAACAAATCAACTTACAAACAGCCTTTCGGTCCCCGTTGTTCTTAAGTTGGGGACTTACTGTATAGCATTGCAAAGAGATTAGGAGTTTGATCCCAAGCCCAAGTGTTTGTGTGAGCCAGTCTATATGCACAGACCTAGGAGAGTCAACAATCAAGGGAGCTTAATGCCCTGATATTGGCCCACCCTTGAACCACAAGGCACCCAGATCCAACGGGTTAATGCTTGCATCAGCATCTTTTGGAATTTCCTTCAATAACAAAAAGAGGAACATTAAGATATATTTAGAATCATAATGCCAAGATTTATTTTTAGCTTCCACTCTGGAGCCATGATTAACCTAATGCCACTGGAAAAATGTGATTGTTTTGTGAAATGTATCTACACATGGACAGCTTCATGTGCCCTCACCGTATTTTCCCCTTCTTTGAGTTTTCAGGATTTTTTGGTTTTATTTTGTTAATACCAATGCTGTTATCATTATCTATGTCATATGGACCGTCCTCTTATTGTCACAGAATAATAATTGTGACAGTGAATTAATGGAATAGACTTTCATCACACAGGTTTAAAACAGAATTTCAAATCTACACCCATAGGAACATCTTTCAACTCACTCTGAGCTGCAGTTCTACTAAAAATTTGCAACTGTGCTACTACATTTCATTAAGGTGAAGGTGTATATTGTTTGATTTCTAATAGTTATTCTCAACAAGCTCTGTTATCAAAACTGACCAACATTAGCTTGTAGTTATGCTTTCAATATTTTAGTTATCCTTTCAAAGTGTCTCACTGTCTAACTGGAAAAAAATAGTATTGTTAACCCAGTGGCATCAGAAAAAGGCTGTGCACATTTAACCCATTGCCGCCGGGGAAAATGAAAAAAAAATGGGGGAAATGCAGTACTCATTTTTTATATTTTTATGATATATCTCTGTCCATAAATGGCTCTGCTAGTCCTGATTTCACCTTTCCTTGAATTGGCGGGAAAAAACGTATTCTTACTAGTGCTATAAATATAGATGGTGTTATTTTTAACAGCAAATTAGGATAACGTTAAATATTTTCGTAAATCGATGAAAAGGGTGAACGGGCAAGACAGGCAGTACTCGTAATTGGCTCATTGGTCACTTAGTACAAGTGCAGCCATCTATGTGTAAAAACAATCGAACAAGTCGACTCACAGTGGCCATGGCATTTACGTACATGCCATCCCCGGCGGCAATGGGTTAAGATTTGTTTGTGAAATGTCTTTGCACATAGATGGCTCTGCATGAGTTTTGCCACAAAGGAGTCAATTAACCCATTGCTGCTGGGGAAAATGAACAAAAAATGGGGAAAATGCTGTATCTATTTTCTATATTTTTTTGTGAAATGTCTGCCCACAGATGGCTCTGTTAGTGCCTGATTTGAAATGGCGGGAAAAACGTATGTTTCACTAGTGCCATGAATATCGATGGTGTTATTTTTATTATAAACATTAAAATTATTAAGTTTTTTAACATTAGTAACAGCAAAATAAGATAATGTAAAATATTTCGTAAATCAAAGAAAAGGGTAAACGGGCGAGACAGGCAGTACTCATAACTGGCTCATTGGTAATTTAGTACAAGTGTAGCCATCTATGTGTAAAAACAATCAAACAAGTAATCTCACAGTTGGCATGGCATGGTATGCCTGTTGGCAATGGGTTAATAGACCTTGTGACCTTACCTGATTTCTCCTTTCCTTGAATTGTGTGGGAAAAACATATTTTTTTACTAATGCTCTCAATATCGATGGTGTTATTTTTATTATAGACATTTTAATTACTATAATGTTATTGAGATTACTAACAGCAATACAAGGTACCATAAAATATTTCCAAAAATCAAAGAAAAGGGTGAACAGGTGACACAAGTAGTACTCATAATTGGCTCACTGGTGACTTATTACAAATGGAGCTGTTTATGTATAAAAACACTTAATAAAGTAAACTCACAGTGGGCATGGCATACACATACATGTTATGCCTGTTGGCTTTTGGTTAAGTGTCAATACTAAGTAATGCATTTTTCAGTTTCTTAGGGAAAAAAAGACATTTTATAAAATACAGCTTTATTAAGCTCAATGAAGGGGCATTATAACAAATATCTTTCTTATGCTTGAATAATTATTTCTTCCATTGATATTATTTGACAATACTATAATATTTGTCTTTACATCACAACTAGCCATCATATTTTTTACAATGGCCCATAGCCTTACCAATCCTTTTGCAATTATTTCATTTCAAACAAAAGATACATTTTCTTGAAATAAATGCTGTTTTTCTTAGAAAAAAAAGAAAGATGTATAACTAACACTCAAGAAAAATCAGTCAAATTTCCACGGATTTGGAGTTACTGAGTGCAAAAGTCTGATTGCTTGATCATAGGCATCCATATCTGAAAAATAAAATCCTAGATAAGAAAGTGTTTGAACTCCATAAAGGATAAAAGGCATTCATGTAAACTAATACTAATAAC